TCTCCACCCACTCTAGGTCCTGAGACAGCTCTGAGGAAGAGGCAACCCCACCCTCAAAATTCCAGATTGATAAGGGCTGCTGGTTGAAAGCTGATAATTACTACTGATAATAAAGTTAACTGCTATCCAACCTGGAGTCTGCCCAGGTTTACAAATGAAATCGCCATTATGCTCTCGTGGATACTTGTAGTGATCCTCAAGGTATATGAGGTGCTAGCAGCCTGGGCAAATGCCTTTTGTCCCGACTCTGGAGGTAGGCAGGGCAGACTTTCTCCATTTTACAGCCAGAGGCACCTGAGATTAGGGCAGTTGTGACTTGCCCATGGAGGCCCTGGGGTGGAGTTGACACGAGGTCTGACCCAAAGTCCAGTAAGCTGCCTGCAGGTGGTGAACAAACATGGTGCTCTCTGCATCAGTGAAAGTGAGACAGGGTGGAGGGTGGCTTCTCATGGAATCAGATACAGATGGAATGGAATGCAGGTGGAGTGGCAAGGTGGGAGGCTCAGCCCTGGGGTTGCCTTGCTGCTCTGCTTTCAGAGAAGAGAAAGGTACTGGGAGGCCCCACTACCTTACTCCCCCTCCAAAGTCAACCAGCAGCGCTGAGCAAAGAGCCGGCTTTAAAGTCAGGCAAGGCCTATTTTGCACAGGTACACTTACTTGGCCATGTTTCCTTAGTTCCCTGAGCTTATAAAATGGGGGTTGTAAAACTCGCAAGAATTCTAATGGGACCTCAAGGTTTGATTCGAACCAGGACTGGCTTTTCTACCTATAACCCTGGGGCCTCGGGCGCCTCCCCAAAGCAGTGGATGATACTGCTCTTCAGGTTGTTGTGCAGCCCTTAAGCCCACCCACAAGGCCCCTTCTTAGTTCCATGGTGGATATGGTGACTGCTATTTCCCCGACTTTGTCACAGGGCCACACTTCTCTCTAAAAGAGTGAGATAGATGATGGAATTGGAGTTAACTCACTTCCTGAGCCTCCCACCCCTGCTCCCTCGCAGAGAGAACAAAGGCCTGTTCCAGTCCTGTCCCCACCTGCAGAGGCTACCCAACGCCTGGGTTTCCTTCCCAGGTTGCTAGTGGGGGAGGTTCTCCTCCCTCACCACTTCCCAGGGCAGAGGCCGGTGAGGGTGGGGATTCAAGGGGACGTGTTAAAGTGCCATTGAGATGCTAACTGAGGTGAGGGTCCTTGCCTCTCCATATCAATGGCATTCCAGCCCCATCACAAACCTAGCTTAGGCCAAACTTTAACCCTTCAGTTCCCAGATCCAACTGAAACCAGGTGGACCAGGGGACCCAAGAGGGAGCTTGGGGCCTCCTGGCCTCTTCCTAAGGAGGTCTGAGTGCAGGAAGTGTGTTCCTGCCTAGGTATCCTGGGAATTGTCCTCTGCCGCACACCCCCTCACTGGGCAGTTCCTCTGATCACCTGGTTTTCAGGCTCTCCTCATTTTCAGACAAATTTTTTACTTTTTCTCTAGGCACCTTATCAAAGGAGGAGAAGTGGGAGACAAGTGAGAGGAAGCTGAAGCCATCTGGCGGGCCACTCTAGAGACACGTCCATGAGGGGTTGGTTCCTGGAGGAGGGAGAGTGAAGGACAGTGTCTTCATCCTCTGAGCACCCACCTCCCATGTGGCTGGCCAGCCCCTGGCAGTGCGGAGTCTCCCTCTGAGTGTAGAGATGTTAGGCCAAAGGGCTAAGATCTAAAAATAATTAGGGTCCTCTTAATGCCATTTTGGAGCACAACACTTACCCAGTATGTGCAGCTCCTCACTGGACCCTGTCACAACCTTGGGAGTTTAGAGCTGCCTGTGGAACCGGTGGGCCCTTGAAGCAAGGCTTGACTGCTGAATGACTAACTGTCCTCGTTTCCCTGGTAAGATAGGGCGGAGGCAAGATAATTAAAATGTTAAATCAAGCTACATTCAGAGACTGCAATATGCTGATCAGCTCTGCAGCCAGGCCACAGGACACTGCAGAACAAAGGGAAGTTTCTGCTGGGGTTGCTAATAATCCATTTCTCACACCTGTGAAGGGGAAACAGGAAAAACAGTCGTTAAATGGCTGCCCTACACAAAAATAAAAGTGGCCATTCCCTCTGGCTAAAACCATAGGGAACCTTTAGATTAAAGGTTGGAAATTGCCAGCAGGCTTTTCAGGCTACATAATCTTACCTTTTCACACTACATACTCTTCCCTTCCCCTTCTTCACTGTGCGTCCATATCAAAGGAGATGGGTAAACAAAGTCTTTAAACTGTAACTCACAGGAACTAAAGAATGATATATAAACTGAATTCCCAGAACATTCAGGGCCCCTCTCAGTGTCTTTCTCTTGGTCCTCTTTACTCTCTCTCTCTCACTGTCCTGCTCACTCTCTGCCTCTGAGAGGAGACCACACTAGTTGAGTGTTACCCTTTTTTCTAATAAGCTTTCCTTTTGACTCTAACTTGGCGTGTGTATTGAATTCTTTCTACCTCTCTGTCAAAGGACTCTCTTCTCCTGTCAGTGCAGGGCTCAGTCTCCCCCAGCTCTGGGAAATTTACCGTCCTGCATCAGGAGAACTCAGTGCTCAAACTGGCAATGTCCCAGTCACCTTATGTCCGAGGCAAGACAGACTTTCTCTGGGGCCGTAGGGAACAGAAAAGACCAGAAAAGACCCTGGGCTGGGTCTGCCCAGAATAGGAGGCCTTATGGGCAGGTCAGTGGGCCCCTCCAGAGACTGGGGCTTGCTGAGTGGGCCTGACACCTGCCCAAACCTGTGGGGCTGGATTCCTGGCAGTCCCAAAGGCCATAGAGAGAGCTTACTGAAGGCTTGCTTCTGTTTGCCCTTCTTCTCAGCCACCCCCTACCCACCCTCATGAAATCTGAGGCCTAGGAGGCTGGAGGAGCTGGACAAACCTGGCCCCAAGATTCCCGTGCCCATCACAGTCCACTGTCATCAGCAGCCCTCCACCTTATCCTCAGGCATCCAGGGGCCACCAGGCTGCCCCTCATACTGGAGAGCACTGCCCCATGGCCCTGTGAGGAGGCGTCAGGCATGGAGGAAGCCCCAACCACCGGAGCCCATCATGCAGACCCACTGACTGGCTCTGGCCTCAGTCTCCCCATTTTAGGGGGTGGGGTTCTCAAGCTTTTTTGAATCACCCACCTCTTTGCAGATCTGATGAAAATATAAATCTCTCTTACAAAAATATCTTTAAACACATCCCAGAGCAATGCACCCACCTGAAGTTAGAATTATTTATAAATAAAGCCTTCACTAATCAGGTGACCTAGTGCTCGCCCTTCTCCCAGGGCAGTAGAGCAGTGCAGTGACCAGGTGTGCCTGGGGGTCCTCCTAGCTCTCCCAGACACTTGTTGAGGGGCACCTCCTCCCAGGGCAGCTAGGCCTCCAGGCTTCCTCAGGAGGAGGAGTGGAAGTGAGAGGCTCTCCCAGGCGAGGGCCCAACTCTGCCTTTGAGAATCCTACCAACCACCCTGGAAAGTAGAATTTTCATCTGCCCCCACTCCATTTTCGCACACTAATCTTCAGTTCTTAGCATCAAGGAAGGGCTTGAGGGAATTCATGACCTCTCCCCGCAAATGAGGGGCTCCTGATTATGGGTCTCAGGAAGTTTCTCAAAGAGGTCTTTGACCTAAGGTGGTTAAGGACTTTCCATGATCTCTCCCAGGTAGGGGGGAGGGGAGGAGGCAGGATTTGAGCCACGATCTGTGCTACTCCCAGGCTGCCCCTACAAAGGGAGTCACGGGGCTCTGAGGGGCTCTCCAGGAATGGGTCTGTTCTGAGGCGTGTGAGCCAGGGATCAGGGACACCTGAGTCACCTGGGCCTAACCTCTGTTGACCTTCTCTGTGGTGTCCCGTCCAGAGTGATTACTCATTCCCCGTGGACAAGAGTGGGGTCCTGGGATTCACTCTCACCCAGGGCTCCAGCCCTGGCTACTCTTCCCCTTTCACCCCAGGCTCTGAGTGCCCTTCCCCCACCTCCACAACAGGCTCTTTATTCCCTGGCCTCTAGAGACCTTCAGCAGCTCAGCTAGGCCCCCAGTTTCAGAGGAGGGGGTGGAGAGGGCACACCTGAGCTGAGGTAGAAGTGAGGGGGTGGTTTTCTAGGCCGTTGCCTGGACGATGCCACCTGAGCTAGGCTCCAGGCACCTGTCACCTGGGAAACAGTGCGGGCGGGGTTTCTCCCTCGGGAGCTGCCGCCAGGGCCACTGGGCTGACTGGAGACAAGATCGAATTCCGAAGAGCCCCAGCGGGTGGGTGGAGAGGCAGGTAGGTATGGGTGGGGGGGTGCATGATACTGGGGGAGATGGGAGAGATGGGATGCGTTTACATCATGA